CAGCTCCGGGCCATTGTTCTGCAGGCACCTTGGGAGGCAAAGGGCTCTGTGCACTCACTGAGCCCGTCCTTCCATCCTGGGCCAGGGCCTCTCTCTCCTACCCTCTCCTCTGCAGGGGCTTGGATGGAGTCCGGGAAAGAGGATGGCCCTCAGTTCCCTGCCTGCAGCCCTGCTTGCCCATTGCCCTGGCCTGGCCTGGAAGGGGGGTCACCTGCAGGTGTCTGAGTGCCATGACCTTTCAGAGGCCTCTCGGAATTCTCTTTGGAGAGAATGATGGTAAGAATGACCACCTCAGAATTCTCTTTGGGGAGAATGATTGTAAGAATGGGAGGATCCAATGGGTTAATATATGGGAAGCTTTTAGGAACACCTGGGACCCAGAAAGCACTATGTAAATGTCTGCTGTTAGTGTTACTATTGTGATTAGGTCCTAGAGCACCCCAAAGAGGCCCACGTGCCCCGTTTCCCGGCCAGCGGGAGCCCTCACCGGAGGTGGAAGATGTGGGAGCAGGGCAGGGCCTGCAGCCGGCTGTTCCTCTCGCCTATGGACTCCCCGCACAGGCCGCAGTAGAGCTCCGTCTCCTCCACGCACTCGTGGAAGCGCACGACGTGGGCCCGCAGCTCCCGCTGCAGCCCCTTGCTGCGGTAGATGCTCTCGCTCAGGCAGTGCAGCTTCAGCTGGCTCAGCTGGGCCCGCGGGGACAGCAGTGCGGGCGGAGGGGACGAGACCAGGTCAGTGTTGGTGAGCAGCTGTCCCGCCTCCCCTTGCCCAGCCCAAGAAGCTGTCTTGGAGTCAGGCCGTACAGGGTCCAGTTCTGGGCACGTTCCTGCCTGGCTGATGGACCTAGAAAAAACGTCCTGCCCTCTCTGGGCCTTGGTTTCCCCTCATGCAGAATGAGGGGGTGGTGAGGTCAGTGGTCTTCACCCCTAGAACCAGCTGGGACCCCATGTTTCTGAAGGGTTTAATTGACCGAACCTGTTGCATTGACTCCATAATTGTTTTCCTGTTCTCATTGGTTAAATACACACAGCAACTTGCTAGCATTTCTGATCAGACCAAGATACTCGGGTATACCCGAGCATTTTGGGACTATGACCCACCTTCGGAGAAATGCATATCTTTTAGAAGACTGTGAGAAACGCTAAGCCTGTTTTCACTGTTTAGAGGTTGGGGTACAATTATTGGATTTAGAGAGGCCATATATCTAAGCAGTGTAGACAGGCCAGTTGCCAGGTAGTGGGATCTTGAGCACCCCTGTGAGCCTTGCCTTTCTCATCTGTAAAATGAGGCTCAGTATACCCACCTTTGCAGAGAGACAGCGAGGACTGGAAGCCAAACCTACAAGAGCCCTGGGATGCCCATCTCTCAGTGAGTGGAGGCCATACTAGGAGTTTTGATGACCATCAAGAAAGTTCTGAGGAATTCTGCTACCCTCTGAACTGCAGAATTCTCGCCCAGCCCTTTGTAGCACTCTCTGGGTGAAAGAGAAACAGCCGGGGTCTGGGGATGGCTGGGGCAACTCCTGGAGACCAGGAAGGGCTCGGGGTATGAGCGGACTCGGGGGCCCTCTCCACCCACCCACAATCCCACCTGGGCTCTTGACTCCAGCCCCAGAGACGGAATCAGGTCTGACCTTGTTGCCCACCTCCTCGGCCAGGTCCTGGGCTCTCTCGATGGCATCCAGAGCCTGGAAGGCAAGCACCGCTCTGAGCACAGAGCTGTCTGACTGAGGCCTTGGCTCACAAGCAAGAAAGCAGGTAGGGAGAGGTGGGCATGGGGAGGGTGCCATGGCTGGGCAGCCGCCCTGTGTGTGAAGGTTTCAGGAGGAGACTGGGGTGGCGCTGCAAGAGCTCTGGGGGTGCTGCCTCCTGCTTCAGTTTACTCAGATGCAGAAGGGGGAAACATTTCTGCCTGGTGGGGTGTTGCGCAGGCACGGGAAGCAGTTAAAGTTCCCCGAGTTCACACCCCAGGTCTGGCCCTTTACTAGCTTAGCTGTGTGACTGGGCAACGCGTGGGCCTTCTCTGAGCCTGGAAAACGGCCTGGAAGCCTAGATCGGGGGAAAGCTGATGGTAGACAACGTATGTGAAAGTCCTGCAGAGAACCAGACCCACAGATTGTTGGCTGGGAGCCCTGGGAGAGCTGGGGGCCATCGGACCGGGCCTACCCTCACCTTGTCCAGCGCCTTCCGGGCCACCCAGCATTTGGCCACACCCAGCAGCACCTGCACCTGCCCCAGGCGGTTGCCGATCTCGGTCATGATGCTCATGGCGGAGTCGTACCTGGGGAAGGCCGTCTGCACAGCCGGGTGGGGGTGGGGTCAGGCTGGGCCAGGCCTGCACCCCCTGCCCCACATCCTGGTGACCTCACCTCCAGGTCCCCGCGGCTCCGGTGGATGTCAGCAAAGCAGAGCAGGCAGAGGGCCTGCAGTGGCCGGTCCCCGTGCTGCAGGGCGATCTTCATCGACTCCTGTGAGGGAGGCCGGTCGCTCAGAGCTGTTTGTCTGCCCCCACCACGGGGGCGCCCAGGGATCACCAACATCCTCAGAGCCCTACACATCAGTCACGGTTCTCGGGCCCCACACACCGAGACAATGGGGCCTCGCAGCACCCAGCAAAGTGGAAAATGAGGCTCAGAGAGCAGAAGTGACTCCATCAGGCCACCTGGCTAGGAAGAGGCAAAGCTGGGATTTGAACCCAGGTCGGTGGAACTTCAGAGATGGCTCTCTTCCAACTTAAAGTGTCCCCCAGGGGATGGGGGGGCACAGGGAAACCCCCCACCCTGAGAATGGACTGGAAGGAGTGAGGTGGGGACGGGAGAAACATGCATCCTCAAGGCTCAGCTATGGAAAGGATGGAGCAGGAGCAAGACATGGGGCTTCTGTGGGCTGATCTGGAAGGAGGAGACCCACCTGCTCTGGGCCCCAGACCCTGGCCCACACCACCCCCTGCCCGCTTCCCTGCTGCCCCACCTCACAACACTCCATGGCACTGCCCAGGTGGCCCAGCAGGCGATACGCCACAGCCATGTGGTACTGGCTCATGGCCCGGTACTTGAGGCTCCAGCCTTTGCCATAGTCATTGACGAGCTCTGCGGCTTTGCAGGGAAAGAACAGAGCTTTCTCGTAGTCCTGCAGGGACACAGGGAGGGGTGGGGTGAAGGGCATGCTGAGTGTCAGGAGCTGCCCCTAATTGAAGGCTGAAGGCCCTGGCTTCTCTGGCCGCCAGGGGTCCACAGGCCCCATGGGGTGTTCATTCATCCTTTCTGGAATCCAGGGAAAGGGCGATCCAGGCAGGGGCAACAGCCAGTGCGAAGGTGTCGGTTCCATGAACACAGGGATTTGCACCTGGTGTGCTGATGTTGGATTATAACCCATTGCTCGGTTCTTGGCATTTAGTAGATGTACAATAAATATTTGTTGAATGGCCCTAACAGGTGGATAGAGCATCGGACTGTGGACTGAAGGGTCCCGGGTTCGATTGCGGTCAAGGACACATGCCTGGGTTGCAGGCTCAATCCCCAGTGGGGGGCGTGCGGGAGGCAGCCAATCAATGATTCTCTCTCACCATTGGTGTTTCTATGTCTCTCTCCCTCTCCATTCCTCTCTGAAATGAATAA